GGTTCGGATCTCTTCAGAACCAAACCGACCCACGGACAGTTCTAGTAATAAGGGCCTTCTAGTGGTATGTATTTCGGGCGGTTTGGGTGAGGCCGAAGATGAAGATGAGGCGGGGGTGGAGGTGGGTGGGGCATATTTTCTTTTTTGTTTTTCGTTTAATTGTTATTTTAACTGTTAATAATATTTAGAAAAATATAAAATGCAAAATTACCATTTTGCCCTTACTAAAATTAGCCAAAATCAATTTGCGTGGTCAACTAACAGTCAAATGGATCGATTCATTTGGACCTTCGATGCACATTTTTTAAAGGTTTGGGACCTCTGCTGACGCAAAACAAAAGTTATGGTAAAGTTTACAAAAAAAGAAAAGGTTTGAAACTGCTTCTGCAATTTTCCCTAATAGAAATGGAACTTGACAAATTGCATTGGGGTTCCATTTTGTAATTAAAACAATTGTAAAAACTAAAAAGCAATAAAAGTATTTAAAAAATAAAAATAAAACGGAGAATATCTTCTAATTTTCATGAAAGCTGTCAATTAATTAACAAATCAAGTTGGATATTTAATTATTCATAAATAAAATTTCTATAATTTCAAAGGAAAAATAAATGCACTGACTTCTGAGTACCCTCGAAATCCGCTGCTTGAAAGGTATTGGATAATATTTCTATCAAACCACCAACTTCACATTAAAAAATAAAATAAAAAAATAATAATCCAACAGTAAGTCCTAATTTAAATTATGGAATAAGCGAAACCACGTCGTCAATATTAAATTGGAAATTCACATCATAAGATTCGTACAAACGGGGCCCAGTCTATACAATAATAGATAATTTTATAGGAGCTATCAACAAATATAATATTTCTAATTATTTTATTTTATTTATTCTCCCTCTAATAAACCTCTTTTTTCTCTCATTTTTTTCAAAATTTATTTTTTCTTCTACATATTCATTTTCAACCAATATTCTACACGTAAATTTAAAAAAATTTCTTACTTTTTAACTATACATTCTTCAAAAATTCACTATTCATAATAATATTTTTTTTCAAAAAAAATGGCTACCAAACAATGATTAAGTTGAATTTTTAACAAGTTAATACTCGATATTCATTCCAACCGTTCAATGTTAGGACCAATCAACGAAAATATTACACATTTCTAACCTCGATTTATATTCGAAAAAGTTTATTGTTGGAAAGATGAATTCAACTTTGTAAGAGTTATGACGAAATGATATTATTCAAAAGTAATTATGACAGAAGATTAGTCAAAATAAAATAAAATGTGTGAATGCAATGTTTGAATGCAAAGAGGTAATATCGCATAAGTAACTCCAACTTGTCAGCCAAGTTAGGTACTTAGATATTTATTTTTATTTAGTAAAAGTGATATTGAATTGACGTATCAACTTCAAAAATTAAAAATTGAGTTCTATGAATTATTTCGTTATTTAACTCCAAAATGGAAGCCATCAATTCGTATTTAAACAATATATGCAATTCAAGTCCAAACAAATTAATCAGTAGTTGATTTATTAATAAAAAAGGCCGCCCTAAATCGAAGTTTCTTATTTATTTAGTTTGTCCAACGTTAGTAAGTCGGAGATCGTTTCATTGAATTTAAAAAGTTATTTAAAAGTAAATTTTACCGAAAATAATCCAGCATTAGGCAAAATTGAAATGGTTGCCATTGTGTCAAATTGGTAGTGTAACCATTGTATTCTTCAACACGTATGTACATTTACCCTATGTAATAGACAGGATTAACTTACGTAACCATCAAATTTGAAAAGTTTGAAACCTTTGAAACTTCACTTAAATCGGAACACCTCGAATGAATTTACGAGTTGGTGAACTAAATTACCTACCGAGAAAATAAATGTACTAAGCCCCACTAGATGGCTCCAATTTGTTTCATCGTATAAATTTTAGTCAAGAATAAAATTACGTGTTCCTTTAAAGTCCATGTAGCATTGTAACGTGGATGAGACCGGATCTAACATTTTATTAGGAGTGGAATTACACTATCCACTTGTGCCAGCTTATGTAATTAATATTCAATTTAACACGCGATTTTTTTTTTTCATTAAAATTAAAAAAGAAAAACAGTGCACTGATGATGACACTTTATTTTTTCCCGGCATTATTATTATTATTATACAACGTGACGATATTCATGGGTTATTAAGAAGCACACAAACGCACCAACTCTTTGTCCGGTCCATTTCCTCTCTCCATCTCTCTCTCTCTCTCTCTCTCTCTTATCTTTACTCTCTCACACACAGATCCACCAACCCACTGTGTGGCTGCTATCCAGTGTATTAAAATCAGAATTGGATTGAAGAACACAAGGTAGCAAAATGGGAAGATCCCCTTGTTGCTCTAAAGTGGGGTTGAAGAGAGGACCATGGTCAACCGAAGAAGATACTCTTCTAGCTAATTACATTCAAGAACACGGTGAAGGCCATTGGAGATCTCTTCCTCAGAAAGCTGGTAAGAAATCTGTCCCATTCCATTTTTATATTTCTTGAATTTCCTCTTTATTTTTTTTTTTTATCGAGAATTATAGTTTGAAATTTTCTGGGTTGAAGGGCTGTTGAGATGCGGGAAGAGTTGCAGGTTGCGATGGATGAACTATCTCCGGCCGGGAATAAAGAGAGGAAACATATCCCCTGATGAAGAAGACCTGATAATTAGGCTTCATTCACTTCTGGGCAATCGATGGTCACTAATTGCCGGAAGATTGCCAGGTCGAACTGACAATGAGATAAAAAACCACTGGAATACTCACCTCCTTAAAAAACTCAATAACGCCGGAATACAACCTAAACTCCACACAGATTTCCCGAAACCCCCCAAAAAACCCAAGAAATCAACAGGTTCCGCCTCCGGCGCCAAGAAGAAAAAGAAGACCAAAACTGCTGCGGCGGATGTGGAGGTTGAGGTTGCTCCACCTCCTAAAACCACTGTTTACTTACCAAAAGCCATCCGGGTTTCATCGGCATTTCCAAGAAGTAATAGCTGTGACAGTTTATTAGTGAGTGGCTCTGGTTCATCATCTAGTCAAGAAGATAATAATGTTGAAAAGGAGAATGCAATCGTGGAAGTAGCATATGTTCCATGGCCTTCTCTTGAATTAGATGAAAATTATCTTGAAGTTGGAGACTGTGGCGATGATCAAGATTTCCTCAACAACTGTGATCTGCCATTTATTCATCATCCAGACCTTTACGATGATCCCAATTTGCTCGACAGAGTCTACGATGAGTATTTGCAACTTCTGTAATGTAAGAAAAAATTAATGTCTTAGCACATGAGTATGTAAGAAAAAAATAATGTCTTGTTGAGCTTAGAATTACTTCCTTTTAAGTTTGTGTGTCAATGTTCGCAAAATATTGTACTAAATTACTATGTTGTTAATTCGTATCTCTGTTCTGTTTTATCATTTCTCTGCTTTTTGATATGTTTGCTAGATTCTCACTTTGAACTTATATTTTTCCTCTTTTAGTTTCACATCTTCCTCTTGGTACGTATAAAAATAAATAATATTGCCAAATTAAAAGACTTGTTGCTTTCTAACTCAATTCTATGTATATGTATTATTACCAAAGGGAACTTCTAGAAGTTCAAATTAAGATTTTTCTTTTAACTACTCTTCCCATTTACATAATTTACATGCATATGATCAAATATTGTTTATTCTTTTTCAACTATTTAGGGTTGTCCAACGTGACTATTTTAACTTTTTTACAAGAACTTCCTTTCAAGATTCTTTTACATAATTAAAATACTTTCACAAATCTATCCAACTAGACTGGTAAAAACTTTTTAGAGTTTGTTTGACATGATTTTTGAAAAAAAAAAAAAAAAATATTGCGATCCAAAAGCTGTTTTGGACCGTTTGGTTAATTTTATGAAAGTGCTTCTGGTAGTTAGAAGAGTTTTTAGAGGAAGTCGGTTCACTGTAGCTTCCTCTAAAAATACTTATAAGAAATATCTTTAAAAAATTAGTTTTCAAATAAAAATTAAGATGACTTCATTCAGAAACTCTTCTTAATATTGCTGATACTTGGGGCGTTGGAATCTTTCTATTCCGGCGTAGGCCTCTCAAAAGGTAACGGAGGCGTGCAAAGGTTTCCTCGGGCCGGACAAGCATAAGTAAAAGTCATGTCAAACGAACTTTTAATATCAGAAGTAATTTTTAATTTTTTAAGTGTATTGACAAGTAGACCCTTTGAGAAAAAGATGTATTTAAAATGCCAACACTCAGTCATCAGTACAATCAATTATTGGGGTTTGCTGCTCTAATTTATTTTGTTTTTATTTCATTCAAGTATACTCCTTTGAATTCCCAATATATATAATGAAACGTGGATGATTACATTCCATAATTTAAGTTGAACTTTACAATTATTTCCAGAAAATTATTCAGATCCATAAAAAAGGGCCCATCTCATGATTCATGTGCTATGGGCATATTTCAGACAAAATTATTTAGAGCATATATGAAAATTTATCGAGGATGAGATAGAGCGTACATGAAAAACAAAATAAATTGAAAAGGGAAAATGATTTGTCAATTCGTTAGTTCTTTGTTAATGAAACTATAATCAGACTCTTCTCGTTCTTTTCTTCGCATCAACAACTGATTATAATTTTGCTAGCGTGTTATATATATTAAATTCACCATTATAAAAATGTAAATTAGACATTAATAAAAAATAAATAATAAAGCTAAAAATGTAAATTAGTCAAAATTAATCTCAGATCTGGACAATAATTTATTTAATATAGTACCAATTAATATAGTGAGGACTACCATTATTGCTGATTTTGATTTGGATCGTCCCTCAGGCAAAAAACAGCAGCCCAGATTTTGTCCATCACATAAGCTGTCATCTTCATATATTGGAATGGATTTCTCCATAGTTCTACTTCTTTAATCATTAAATCCTACTTTTTTACCATCTTTTTGAAGCATCCATCCAAGGTTTCCACTAATTGGTTGCTTTAAAATTTTGGTACAAGCACAATTCAATGTGTAGTATTATTAACTTAAATATTTTATGAATTTGACAACCTAAGTTTTGTCTTGTTCGATTTATTATTACGCCTGGTAAAAGATCTTTACAGATAAATTACTCACAATATTTTCGTCAGGTTGTTCCATCAAAGCTTAGTGACGTGTAGACTAAAATGATCTCATAATAATATCATATTTTAATACGAAATAAGATTGGTAACGTCCATTTCAATAGTCAAATCATAGACTAAGAAATTTGTTCGAAGATCTCGTATCATATAAACAAAATTACTCTCCTCTTATATTCTTTGTCTACAGAAAACATGTTCCAATTTCTTAATATGCACTCAATTAAGATTATATGGCCTCATGAAACATATGATTGGGGCACATTAAAACATTCAAGATTATCATAGCCATTAAACAAGATTTAGGTGCAGATTTGAAAATGAAACTAGAAATATTGTTGTTTTTTTTTTCTCTTCCTTTTGCATACGTAGACGGTGCAAGACTGCAAGTTAAAAAAAAAACAGACAACAGGCAAATGTACAAATTTGTTTTGTCCATGTTGCTTGTAAAAATAAATAACAATGACTCGTACCTGTTCCCTTTGCAGGGAATATAAAAATAAAATAGTGTTCACAAAAGGCAAGTCAATTATGTTAGGTATACTTTTGCTGACAAATATTTTTGGATGAATCATGCTTCTTGTACATCAAAAAGTATATAAGGGTGTACACAATGGACATCCGACATCATTTCATTGGAGGGAGTGTCGGTCCCACAGGCACTCCCTCCAATAGGAAGGTACCAGGTGTCCATAAATGTACACTTTGATGTACATCTATCATTATCTTTTTTGGATTCAAGCCCCATTTTAGTTGGATGTGCGACTTATAAATCTCCATAATTTTTAAATTTAGCCGTGGTCTAGATCTAATACTACGGATAGTAGATCAATCATACCCCCTCCGTGAAAGTCTTGGTCTTTCATCTAAACCAGTAATTTTATTTTATAGTAACACTTATAATGCCTCGTATAGTTACATGGGTCTTGCCGGGGTTAAGGGGGAGCTTCATAGTCAATTTCTTATAAGAAAAGCAAGCATAAATTCATTAAAAAAAATGAGATGGAAAATATCTATGAGAATTAATTTCTAGTTGGTTGTGTTTTGATTTCTACACCACGTTAGCAAATACTAATATACAACTTGTACTCACAAAGACCTTAATTTATCAATTAATAAGGTCCCAATAATTATATTATAAAATATTTAAAAGCAACTCATATTATTTTATTACTTTATATCTTTCTTTTTTCGTTTATGTACGTACGTTTTGTTGATTGTTTAATTTATAAGTGTATATTTCAACTACACGGCCAATTTTATTTTATTTTTACGAGAAAATTGACCAAAATTAACATCAACCGTTGAAAATTTAAAGACCCATTACAACAAATGTTATCCATCTAGAATCTAGATGCTCGTATGTTTATGTGACACGTTCAATGAAATTTGAATGCACTATTAGGACATAAGTTGTGTTATTTATATCAGAAATCTATGTGTGAATTAAGTGATTGAACATTTAAACGAGTCTTAGGTGAGCCTGTCAATGAAACTAATGGGAGATGAATTTGGAATATCAATCCGATAATTCAATCAAGATCCGAATTTGACAATCAGTTAATTAAATTGAGCAAATATGGATATAAATCAATCCGATCCGACAACAACCTGATCCGATTTGTTAGAATAATATAATATATTTTTTATATTACCGCACAATATATAATAGATATATATTTTTTTCATTTTAAAACTTGTATTAATATCCGATAACATAACAAATCGAATATGAGTTTAACAATTAAATATCCGTTAGATTATCGAATCGGATCCATGAATTATTCTTATCGAATCCGTCGAATATTGACAAATCCGATCAACCGAAAGCCCTACTCTCAAGTCTCTATATATAAGAGGTCCAATCACTTAATCCCACTTAAGTGACACCTATACTATTGATGGTTGGATCTCTAGAATTATTTTTCAAATAATGTTATCTAACACCAATGATATTGAATACCAATTTAAAAGTTAACATATCATATATCTTATTAAATAACCTATAATTTCTTGTATTTAGTTGAACTTGTAATTTAATGTTAGTAGTGTGGTTATCTAAACTGATGTTAAATATTAGTGATACTAAATAACATTATTCAACCCAATTTGCTTTTTATTTTTATTTTTGAGTGTGTCATTCATTAAAAATATTAGTGTGTTTGTGTGTGTATATATATAGACACACACAAGTTGAATTGTCATATTCATGAAAAATATAACCCATGCGATTGCCTACACCACTCACTACCAATTCCCTTTGATTTGCCCCCAGATATTAGGAAATTAGTAAAATTTCACTCAGGAATCTTTTTTCCCATTCCTTTTGGTGCGGGTGCATGTGACCCTGCTGCTTACTTACGTGATACTTCAGGAAAAGTCACCAGTGCAAAATTGTGATTTCAATAAAGATTTACCTATAAAACTTGGGAGTGGCCCCACTTTGAAGCGGCCACAAGTCGCCCCAAATTGACTATCGAGCTTGACGATGCAATGTTGGATTCTTACTCTGCGTGAGAACAACTCAAACGAACGATCTCTCAATACCCTCATCATTCGTTGATCGACACACGTCAAATTCAACCCACTTGCCCCTCCTAAGAGGCATATAAATAATCCTACCCCAACCACTGCCAAGATCAGCTTGAGTCTTTTCTACTTCCTCATCGTCTTTTTCTGCATCATCATTTTCAATAACAGAATATGTTTCAAACATATCTGAATAACATGTTGACCCAGGATGATCCTCATATTGATCATCCTCGACAACAACTTCCGTCTTGAATTGGTTTTCTAACATAAAATTCAACATTAAGAGCATGTTTCAGAGTACTTAAATTGAAATTTAAGTGATTATGAGTTGTAAATGATAAGCGAGTAGTAGTTATAAGTCTTACAAAAAATGTGAATAAATAACATACCCGCTTAAAATTATAAGCATTTCGCGAACTCAAGAATACGCATTTGACAAGTCGGGGAATAAACATTCCGCGAATAGCTCTCGAACTATTGAAATCTTATAAACTAGTCTCGGAATGACGAGATCTTACAGTTTGGCTCGACGACGTGAGAGGTAAGGAATGAGAATCTTGCGACGCTAGGAATAAGTATCTAGCGAGACAGAGAATAATCATC